CTGGGGGGCTGTCGGGGGGGAGAGAGAGAGAGAGAGAGAGAAAAAAAAAGAAAGAGAGAGAAAGAGAGAAACAACATCAACAACAAACACAATACATACATATATATATATAGAGAGAGGGAGCAGAAAAGAACAAAAATACAGAGGTATTGAGAGAGAGGGAAAGAGAGACTGCGGCAGAGAGAAAAGGATACATATGAGGGGAAGGAGAAAAAGGGAGAGAAATAACGAGGGGAAAAAAGAGGGAGGAATCTGATAGCGAGAGCTAGAAGAGAAGTGTCAGGGAAACGAAGAGAGAGAGAGAGAGAGAGAGAAAGAGAGAGAGAGAGAAAGCGATATATCGATAGAACAGCAACATGACAAACAGGTGTGGAAATGAGACACCGAGAGAGAGACAGAGAGAGAGAGAGAGCGAGACAGCACGAATGCCACACACACGCATACACAAACACACACAAACAAACGCACACACACATATATATATATACATATACATATACATATACGTAAATGATATATATCTATACATACATATATATATATATATATGACGAGACATGTGTATACACGCGTTCCCTGAACAGTGTTTGCACTTGGGGTTTCTTACTCCTCGTCGGATGAACTGCGCCTGCCCGTCGGTCTGGCTGCTATGTTGCCGCCGTCGCCGCCCCGTCGCCGCCTCATGGCCGCTCGTCGGCTGCAATTGTGTGTCGGTCTGGCGGCTATTGTCGCCGCCGTCGTCGCCCCATCGCCGCTTCGCCGCCGCCCGTCGTCTAGGCCGTTGCGTCGGTCTGGCGGCTATGCTGCCGCCGTCGCCGCCCCGTCGCCGCACTTCGCTTGGGCCGGGAATTGGGTTTGGCGGCACCATGTTCGCCGTCGCCGCCCCGTTTCGACGTCCGTGCGCACGACCTACATCAAACACAACACACATATATACATAGACGTATGCATCGGTTGAACCACATATTGCGCACAACGTCGGTTACACAAAACCTATTGCGCAATATTACGCGCACCGCCCATACCGTGCCATCGAAACTGCGGTACACAGGTTGCACCACAACCATTGTACAACCTACTTTGAACAATACGAAATGTATAACTAGGTTACACGCACCAAGCTGTGCACAATATCAACGAACAACACTTGTTGCAAAACCTTCACGTTACCACACATACTGCAAAACGCGCATTGCCCACCATCGTTTACACCGCATGAATTTGATGTGTAAAAACTGTTTTAAAACAGCAGTACAGAATCTACCCCCTCTGGGGCCAAGGGAACTCCATATTGCAAATTACATTACGATTCTGCCACATCGCCCATCCTGAATATGAGTTCGTACTGTCCCAAACCAGCCGGTATCGCCCACCTCATCCCCTGTCGAAAAGTATGCGCGCACTCGTTTATAAACTATCATCAGTTTCCAAAGAATCTTGCAAGACAAAAACAAAAACGGGACGAACTGCGCACGCGTGTGGCGTCGTCGCGCGCATGCCGAACACAACCATCGATCCCGTAAGGATTTTTCGCAACCGAACGTCCGAAAACGCATAAAGAGTAGGTTTCGCAGCATGGTTTCGCAACACAGTCTTTTATTAATTAAGATAAATGCGCCCACGCCTTCGCGAATCTTTCAGAAACTATATGTGTTCAACATTTACATGGCATGCTAAAAAAAGGGAACTGGGACCCTCGCGCGACCATGTCCAAACCGTTCGAACGCCATTGCGCGCGTGGTGCCGCAAGAATTTCTTGCAAAACAGATGGGGCGACGTGCGCACGCGCGCGTCGTCGCGCGCGCATGCCGAAACCCTTCAACAACGATGGGTTTCGCAATGGCTGCAGAAACGTATCCCGCAACCAATTGACAACACATGGTTATGCAACATGTAGTTCTAACTATAAGCAACCTGCGTCTCTTTAAGACAACTCTATGTTTCAACGCGTACACCCAAATATGCCAGCGCGCGCGTGCTAGGGGCTGGGGGGGGCGCGGTCCGTATCAAATAATGCAACGGAGGCCACTCGCGCGCGTCGGCCGCGCGCGCATGCCACACTCGCGCGCCATCGCCGACGCGAGGACATCGTCATCATCATCGGCGGGCGTGATCAACATCGGCGCCGTATTTGGCCTTGCCGTCGTCACCGCCACCTTCGCCTCCACCATCGTTAATCTCAGAATCGTGCCTACCGTGGTCAGCATCGCCATGATACCGCGACCGCCGAAAGCACTAACTCTCACTGAAGTAGCCGCTGGGAAGTGCCCAACGGTCAGCGCCACCGCGGCTGCGCCAGTCGCGCCAAACTAACTGGCCGCTGTGCGCGCGAGCATGCGCGGGCTAGCGCGGCCGCAGAGATGCACCAACCAACGCCAAACACTCATCGCAATCGCCGCCGCATGGCTTTTGCAAACCAAGTTGCCGGGGGGGTGATGTTTACAAGGAGCATGGGATGTGTCAACTCGTTTATAAAGATCAATTGCACCACGCAGACTGCAATCCGCATGTATTGCACCACGTATGCGGCGCACCACACACACTGCACAACACAGATAACACTACATACATTGCACAACCGGTATTGCGTAACATAAGTTACACAGCGCCATATAGAGTTTACCTCATGGACAGCACCACATATATTGCATCACGCAGGCTCCACACTACGCATGACACAACACACAGCCCACCTGATTTGATTTATACATGCAGATATGTGTATATATGATATTGCACTTAATGGTTTGCAGTACATGTTGTGCACCACATACGTTGCACCATACAGGTTGCGCCACATGTTGCCAAAACATAGGTCGCACATCATAGACGCAACAACATAGATTGCACCACATAGGTTGCATCAAATACATAGATAGATGTAGTGCACACGGATTGCTCAACATGGACTGCACAAAACAGATTGCACACACATGGGTTGCGCCACACATCCGTCACCGTGCCCCATTGGCACGGAGTGGGCGCGCCCTCGGGTCCTTTCCCTAACCCCCTAAACCAAACCGGGGAACTGGATCCGGAGCCCCCATTCCGAAGCCTCCTAGGGCTCGTCGCGTGCCCCCTGGGCCTGCCGTCGCTCGGACGCCCACGTCCCGTGCATTGTCCGGCGTCGCTCGTGTGTGTTTTTTTTGTTGCTCGATGGTCAAGGATGCTCCTCCAGGGTCCTCGCCGAGAAAAAAATGCACACGTCCGAGCGATGCCAGGCGGGGCTTCCCGCGTGCCCTTGGGGTTCTGGGAAGTGGTGGCGCGCGACTGCTTCGGGACCACGAGGGCCCCAAGACGGCGGCCACACAGCCGCCAGACCGAAGCCACGGCCCAGACGACGGGAGCTGACGAGGCGGCGACTGGGCGGCGACGGCAGCCACATAGTCGCCAGGCCGAACACACGGCCCAGGTCACAAGAACCTCTAAGTGCAAGCACTGTTTGGGGAAAATGCACTGGAGGAACAGTGACAGAGTGAGGGAGGAAGTGGATGCAAACTTGAGGAGCGGAAAGCGGGAAGTGCACCCCGCTTGGAGATGGAAAGAAGCGAGAAAGAGAGAAAGAGAGAGAGAGAGAGATGAAAAGGAGAGACAAGCAACAAAGAGGGTGAAAAAGAGAGAGAGAGAGAGAGAAAAAAAAAAAAAAAGAGAACGGAACGGAGTTTCACTCTGGCGGACGCGCGCCTCTGTCAACTGGAGGCGGCGAGACCCGTCGGCGCAGGGTGTATGGGGCCAGGCGTGCCGCTGGGGTCACGAGCTGGGCATCAAGGCACCGCCGCCTCGAGGCTTCCCTTGGATGCTCGTTCTGGGGACCTTCCTGGAGCCACTCGCTCCACTCGTGCGTCGAAGCTGCGTCGAACGTCGGTCGAACCTGAGTCGACCCTGAGTCGAACCTGAGTCGAACCTGAGTCGAACCTGAGTCGAACATGAGCCGAACTTGAGTCGAACTTGAGCCGAACTGGGGTCGAACAGATCCGTTCGGTGGGCTCCAGGAAGGTCCCCGAAACGAGCATCGAACTTCCCCGTTCCTCTCCCTCTGCGCAGTGCCCCATCGGCAGGTCCGGAGCGGCGTGGGGCCCCTTGGCCCCACGCTCTCTCCGACTCTCTCGCACTTGTCTTGCATCTGCGGGGGACCGTGCCTGTGAAGGGGCCCCAGGACACACAAATAAATACACACAAATAAACTAATCCCCATTAGTTTCCCATATTTTCTGGGTTTCTGTCTTCCCCTCCACTTCCCATATTTTCCCATATTTTCTGGGAATCGCCGATTAATTGTGTCTGTGTGTTTTTTCCCCTCCTGAGCCTGTCCCGTCGCGCCGCGATCGGTGTCGAATCCGCGTCGGATCCGCGTCGGATTCGCGTTAAATCCGCGCCGAACCCACAACCGGAGTACAAGAAAGCGCTGCGATTGACAGGACAGGACAGGGAGGTCCCCAGCAGGTGCAAAGAAAGCACATCACGTCCTGCAGCCGGAGCAAGCGTGGAGAAGCTGGCGGGTAAGGCGAGCGCGATTCACGCTCGCAGGTTGCACAGGGTTGCCCGAGCGTGCACGACACACAGAACGCTCCATGTTCCGAACTAGCAGGATGGCAGATGTGCAGGATGGCAGATGTGCAGGATGCCTAGCTCACGACTCGACGATCTCCAAGTACACGATCAAGCTGATAGCGATGCAGGGGACACAAGCCAACTGCATGATCCACCAACGTGCCTTATGCACGCTGGGGCGTGTCAGAATGCTCCTCGGCTGTCTGACTGGATTTCGTTAGCGTTCTCTAGGGCAGACTCCATCCAAGGCTTGCGCGCCCGCACTGAAAATCACACACACCCCACTCTGCGGAACCGAGTTTGACAAAGTTTACTATCCAAACTGAAGAGGAACTGAGAGGATCAGGAAGGTACGAAAACCAAAACGTGCCCCCCCCCCGAGGATGGCAACAAAAAACAACAGAATAACAACTAGTACATATACTATAACTTATCAACATACTAGTTGT